ATAATCTAGTAGTCCGTCCCGTCCCCCGCGTCCCCCGCCTCCCCCCTCCGGAACCCGCTATGTTGCGGTGATAAACAAACCAAGGCCCAGAGAAATCAAGTGAATTTTCCCAAAATCTCGCAGCGATGGAGTGGCAGCACAAGACCAGGAGGAGAACTCATGTTTCTAGGCTCCTCACTGTTGTAGCGACTCGCTGAGCTAATGGACAATGAAGAGCTAAGCAAAGTACGTGCATGAGGTAGACACAGTCCACACATGTATCAGTTCCTTCTTCTAGAAATGGGTCGCAGAATGTTGCATGGCAGCCTTAGATATCAGACAAAATCTAGCCCAACCAGTCATTTTATCTATGGAAAGAAACTGAGATCCATAGAAAACCTACTTGTCCACAACCACACAAGATGGTGGCACTGGCTGGCCTGGAACCTGAGTCTTCTGGCTCCAAATCTTCCGTTCTCTTCATTATCCCACACTACCTACCTCTCACTATATTAAACGTGAATAGTTTAATAACGCATGATGATTTTATGTATCCCATATATGGAATCAGTTCTAGAATTTTATCTTGACCATTGGTAACTGCAAAACAAGAAATGCCCCCAAACGTTCTGAAACCACTAAAGTATATCTAGAGTATGGTTGCTGATCATCCAAATTCTACATTTTTTCCGTGTTTGAGCTTCCTTTCCTTTGCTCATGATACTCCACCTATTGACTGTTTCCTGGTGGGGAAGGGCACAGGAGTCAGGCCTTTCAGACCAAACCTGTCCAAGCACCTGCTTCTTCTGTCTCCCTATGCCATAATCTCAGCCAACCTACCTTCTAGTATCAAAAGCCAAACGAGAAACAGTCTTTCTGTACAAAAGAACCTTTTCTAAAAAGGGCTCAGGGAATACTGTAAAGATTAGATGGCTCAAAAATTTTGCTAAATTTTAGGGGCAACCTTCCCAGATAGTTTTGATCAACAATGAATGGAAATCAGCTGTCTTCAACTTACGGGGCATACATGACATTCTCCTATTGGAAGTGACTGCTTTGTGGTCTTCACTATAATATTATTACTAAATATTCATTTCATGGTCTCATCTACCAATGATTCTATGATAAAATATATGAACACAATCACAAAACCGTCATGCAAGACTCCAGGTGATAAATCCCTAGCATTTGCCCAAGCCTTGGGAGATGACAAATAACTTTTACATCCAGTACTTCTTCTGATCCTCTCACAGCAGCGTAATGGAGTGGCCATTCTGATTACCATTTTGCAGATGAGCTCACTGAACTCAGAGGATGAAGGGCAGAAACAAAGTCCACAGGACAAAAAGCGGGGCCTGTCTAAAACTGCCTACCCATCAAAAGACATGGGTTGGAAGGAGGCATTCAATACATATCTAGGGAAGGGAACAAGGAAGAGGGGTGGCAGGAGCATAGAAGCTCAACATAGATTTACCAGTTCTTTGCATTGTGCTACACCATGTACTGCTGTGTGTTCTTTCTTTGGAACCACCGTCTCATGGGGTAAAATGGTGCCCTCAAAGTCTGAGAACTACTTAGTACCAGCACTATCCCCCAATCAAAAACAAGGCCATGGAGCAATGAGACTGTACCACTGATCAGAAGAGTTGAATGGCCTTTATCCATCTGCTTAGGTGCAAGTGGGAACTCGGAAATGTGGAGAGACTGGGCATTCTGCAAACTGAGCTTCAGGATTTTCTGATAAAAATCTGAGTTTCAGGATTCTTCAGATAGGAAAGGAAAAGGGAATGATGGACTCTGGTCATGCTCATTGAGGATTAGGGATCAACCCAAATCAACTTCAGTAAGAATCTCAGTCCTTCCCTTCTCCGACCTCTGGCTTTCTCACCCATAAAACGGAGGGTTACAGTGAAGAGCACATAAACTAATTTATATAAAAAAGAGGCTAACAAGAGCTTAGGAAGACCATAGGAGGTGCTCCTCCCTTCTTGCCTAAGAATATTCTCAGCTGCCCTCACATCACCTCACACACCAGAACCATTGCACAGGAAACAGGAGGCGTGCATATTACTTAATGGCAAGGAAAACAAAACCAATTTCAGGAGAAACTGCCATGCAAAGATTCCTAACTATGTATAAAAGCACTTAGGCAGCGAAGGTGAAGATAGCTCTTCAATGGGAGGTAAACTGCTATTGGTGTTCTCTTTTGGCCTTCAACCAACAGTGGACTTTTGTGTTTCTACCAAGAATTTAACATTCCAAAAAGGTATGTGGAACAAGTTAAATGGCTTGCGTATTTCCACTTCCATGAGGTTCATAGCACATCAGCTTTTATTTTTTCCAGATACAAGGAGATGAAGCTGGGTATATCTTCCTGTGAGCAAATAAACAGAAAGCCATGTCTCTCTTTCTAATACATTAGTGCCTTGTAATCCAGGCCATATGATCGATAAACTATATAAAAATTAAACCATCCTGACAGTCTCAGGCAAAAAGTTAAGCAAGTAGAAACATTTTTTTTTTCTTTTTAGGACTCTGGTGTGTAGTACATTAAAATCACATGTTGTGTTACTAATTTTCTTCTGGAAGCCAAAGAGTTCTCCTGCATAAATTTCTCAAGTAAATATTTACCCAACAGTTTTCCTTATTAAGGGTATTAGATGCATTGAATTAGTGATATTGTAATTAGGCCTATACATAGGGGAGGCACTGATAAATTACTTTGAAAATGATTTTGTCGACTTGGCTTTAAGGGCAAGTCACATACCCTTAAAACGGATAGTGAGGTGCTTCTTATAATAAAATACAAGATCCTGTTATTTTATTACTTTTTTCGAGGTAAACAAAATCACTATTTCAAACAGACCAACAGCGAGTAAACAACTCGGGTTTAGAATATCAGCTCTGAGCGGGACCCAGGGAGAGTTGGGGCAGATGAAGAACTGAAATGTGCAAACAGACACTTGACTTACACCTTCCACGCACAACCGAGTAGCTTGGGGTTTCTGCATCCCTTGCTACAATATAGCTGACAGGTGTGTCTTTTTGCAAATTCCTTCACCCTTCTTTATCCTTTGTTAAGAATACACCATCCCTTGGGACTGACTTCTGAAATCAGAAGAGTGGAAGGGAGGAGAGCAATGATGCTTTACCAAGGCTGTCAAGCTAGTTTTCGCTCAGCTTTCCTAAACACAAAGTAGGAGGTAGGAGGTAGGAGGGTACGACCAACGCACCAGCAGTCAAAGACCTACCCCACCACCAACCAAACACGCCAGTCAACACTGGGAAGCCCCAGGCAAGTTTACAGCAAACAGCTTCAATGTGTTTATTGTTTCCTTGTTCTCCCCCAGGACCTGGGAGGGTCTTTTAAAAATTCAATAGCTTGGCAGAGCCCTGTGCATGATAATAAACCAGCAGCCTTCAGGAAGGTAGGCCCCCCAGTGACAGTTCCTTTACATTGCATTGTAATGTTGAATTTTCTAAGAGGTGGGAATAGGGATTTACAGTCAGTCACCTTTTTTTCCCTTGCACAGAGCACCATTTTACCCTAAACTGTCTCAACTTAAGGGGGCCCTTTCTTACTTTTAAACTCTGAGTCCCATCTTTCTTTGGCTTTCTAAGTTTACTATGGATAGGCAAGCCAAGAACAGATGGACCTGGGTAAGGACCCTCCTGCAGAAAGTCAAGAACAGAGGAAGTAGAAGTGCAGCCCAAGAAATCTCTGGTTTGCACAATCTGCCTGGACAAATCCATTTCAAAGGGGACTTAAGTCTCCGTGCAGGAGTTCTATTTTAAGGGAACTGAATTGGGAACACAGATGTTTCTTCAGTTAGCAGAGCTGGCAGAACAGCTCCTGGACCAAATCCGAGTTCTTAATGCAGGAAGGGGCCTTGGAGAGCATCTAGTTCAACGGACTCACTCAACTGATGAGGAAACTGAGGCCAATGAGGCAGTTAGGTGGCACACCCAACAAGTGGCATAGTGGCAGTGTTCTGATGACAAGTCCTGAGCGCTTTCCATTACACCATGATTCGCTTAAAAAAAAAATTGCTACGCTGACTTCAACTTTGGAACTCCTGTAGCTTCATGTCAGTAGCTTCCCCCCCCCCCCGCACCGAGTTCATAAATCCTCCCTCCTCTCCCACTCCAATTCCTTTAACCTCCATCGCTCTTTTAGCTGTGGCTTCCAGCTGGTTTAATAAACAAGTGGACTATCGCCTCAACTTTCTGGGGTGCAATTAATTGTGGTCCCAAAATATGACCGCGGCTTGCTTTCCCAGTGCCTCAGTTTCCTCATCAGTGTAATAGGGCTCCTGACTCGAACTGCACCGAGTCAGGGAAAGGGCTAGTTAAACCTACTACCTGGCACATAGTAGGCGCCCAAGAACGGTACCCTGTTCCTAGATCCTAGAGCGCGCCTTGGAAACCCCTGTGGAGCGTGGAGGAGTGGGGCAAGTGGAAAGGCCAGCTTGCAGATCTAGATCTGGCCAGGGCCGAGGCAGCAACGGCGGAAGGGGTTGGATGTTTACATACAGACAGGGGAAGGCAGCGCGGCTCCACGCTGGAGCCCGGCGCTCCAGGAGTTCCATTTTACTTGGATGGAGGGCAACAAGTTATGCGCTGGCTCTAGATCATGGTTCAACCAACTTCCCCTATTCTAAAAGGGCGAGCCCACACCTTCCGTGGGATTCCGCCTGGGCTTCCAAGCGGTCTCGATCGCTCTTAAGGAGCCTTTTTACAGTTGCCCGCGAAAGCCTCAGCACGCCCAAACAACTCGTGTGCAGGCCGGGAAGTCGGTGGGAGCGGGGAGGGCGCGGGCCTGGGGGCCAGAAGGGGCGCGAGGACTCCCCAAGAAGGCTGCGGGGGCCTCCCGGGCTGACAGCGCGGCGCTGCCGGGAGACGCGGCTGGCCGGTGGCCCCGCGCCAAGCAAGGCAGCGCCGAGCCCCGCGCGCAGGCACCCGAGCGGGCTGGGACTCGCGCCGAGCGCGGAGAGGCCGAGAGACAGCGGGGCTGGGCTCACCCATGAAGAGGCAGAAGAGATCGAGGCAGATGAGCAGCGCCCGCTTGCTGCCGCCCCTCCTCGGGTTGTTGTTGAGCGCCGGGCTGCCGCCGTTCTTGCTCTCCGGGACGATCGCCTTGTCGTACTTGTAGTTCTGCATGGCGCTGGCTGCGGCGCGAGCCTCCCGCCCCGCGAAGACGCCCGGCGGACAGCAGCCACACACCCAGACGCTGGGGTCGCCTCCTGGCCGAGGCTGCTAGGGCGAGTGGCGGGTCGGCCCCGGCTTGGGGAGCGGCGGAGAGGCTGTGGCTTCGCTGCCTGCCTCCAGCTGCAGACGGTGGTGTTTTCTGCTTCCCGTGTGTGCTTCTGCTTTCTTTCCTCTCTCAGCCCCAAATCGTTCGAAAGTCCAAGGGGGAAGAGAGCCAAATCCCCAGCAGGAACTGGTGCGGAGCTGCGCTGCTCGGGACGCGCTGGGCTGGCGTGTGCCTGTGTGCGCGAGCGAGCGAGTGGGCAGCGCGGGCGCTCGGCCACTTTCCTCCGCTGCTGGTGACTTAATGAATGGGAGACGAGCGGAGCTCAGCCACTCCGGAGCGCCTGCCCCGACTCCAACTTTTCCTCCTCCTCCTGCTGCTGCTGCTGCTGCCGCCGCGGCTGCTGTGACGAATGCCTTGGGTTTGTTTTCTGCACTTTTATTTCACGAGGTCCTTTAAAAGAGAGAGAGAGAGAAAGAGGGAACGAGAGGGACCTCCTTCCTTGGCTCGGAGGGGATTCAGAAAGCACAGCCCCTTCCTTAAGTTGCTAAGACGTAGGATAATTAAGGCCACATTTTCCCCCACCCCCTTCAAAAAAAAAAAAAATCCTAAAAGGAAAAGTTACTCTCAAACCAGAGAATCCGGGAGCCCCTAGCGTTCAGAAACGCCAAATTGTCACAAAAGGAAAAAAAAAATGTATAAATAAAAA